GTGTGTGTGTGTGTGTGTGTGTGTGTGTGTGTGTGTGTGTGTGTGTGTGTGTGTGTGCATGCGTGCGCACATGTGCGGGTATGAATAAACTCACATTGTAACAATTTTTTTCTGGTCCTGGGCACTAATACCAGTAGATCAGTGTCTTTGGTAACTATAAGGAGACAGAGAAACAGGGATGTGAGTGAATGGGATTTACTTAGGGGAGATGGACTACACTCACTGTGGAGACAACTCTAGGGTATTATTATGAGGACAATAACAGGCATTTTAACAAAGGTTTTACTATAAATCAAAGAGAATGAGATTTGTGAAACACCAAGATTTATTCTTAGAGGAAAAAAATGGGCTGCACCCATCAACAGAAGTGAAAGCCGTAGTTATATACTGTTTATTAGTATAAACTTTCAGACTTGTTGTACTAGAAGGTTGTTAACTTGGGTGTGACATCATTCCCAGCTCTGGCTTTCAACCTCCGAGGCTGAAAAACACTGTATGGGCAGCATATCCCACTTGTCAGTGAAACTGCACACAAACCTACTTGCTTAATGAATTCAAACAGTGGTCTCAAACTGTCATGCCCCGCTCGTCTGATCTTCCCGTGTTCCACGCCCCCCCTCGCTGCCTCGTGTGGAATCCCCGTGTCACCAGCTGTGTCTAGATTAGTTCAATGTAGTCTGGTGTATTTAAGTACCTCCCTGTTCGTCTTCCCTCAGTCCTGTCATTGACGTTGCTACCTGTTTTGTCCCGTGTGCCTGACTGTTTCCCCAGTAAAACCCTTGTTTCCCCAATAAATCCCTAATTTCCCCGACTTCCTGGACTCCTGCTCCTCTGTCTCCACTCCGTGCCCATTCCCCACATAACACAAACGTTTAATATCTAAATTTTGCCCTAATGACAAGCCAATAAATTTAAGTTGTATTAAATGATGTTCACTAAAGAGTATCCATGTATGCTCATTATTGAAAGTGTGTTGAACATGCGCACAGTGTTCTGCTCACAACTGCTCACCTTGTTAAAAGAGCACTGCTGAACTGGCCCCATGGTCACAAAAAGAAGACTGTTAGTAGAAGTACTAACCTTTTTGCAACAGGTACAGGAAGATTGGCCTGGCCATTGGTTTGAGGGCACCATCGATCACGCCAGTGACTCGGGGAATGCCAGCAATGTTGTGGAAGCCTTGGTTTGCTCAGGTGATCTACTCCACTGTGGCTGAAGGGCTCATCCATCCCCTGAGGGACCTTTAACAGCACCTGGGTGACAGCTGTCACAGCTCTGCTGAGACCAAGGCCATCTCTCAGTATCTCAGCACCTCTAAGAAACTACCGGAGGCATAAAAGCACAGTGCAGCCAAATGCTGGACACTTGGACTTAAGGCAAAATTACACCTAGAGGGCCTGATGAGAATTTCGAATTTAAAATTTAGAATTTGGTGATCAGTGGTCATTGTTAACACACCACAGCACAGCACACAGTGCGCAACAACGAAATGTGTCCTCTGCATTTAACCCATATGTGACTTTCGTGACATAGCAGGGGGCAGCTAATTCAGCGCCCGGGGAGCAGTGCTTGGGGACGGTACCATGCTCAGGGTACCTCAGTGGTGCCTTGCTGGTCGGGGATTCGAGATGAGGCTGAACAAAATCCAGCAACTCCTGTATCTTGGTCCAAGTGAGGCGATGCTTTCAGATAATTGTGTCATCTGAAAGGACCTCAAAGGAGTCAAAAGTGGTATGTATAAATGCATGCATATACACCTGCAATGGTGATTCAATACAATATGCAATGTTGCCATTGGCCTACGGCTTTCACATGTTCCCACATCATTTATAATGACCAGGGAATGACTCATTACTTGGAGTTGATTGAAAGGCATTTGTCATTGGTGGCCATATCTATATAGATGGAATTGTTATTAGCAGCAGTCATTTTTGAGTTAAGGAGTAAAGTGGTGTGGACTACTTAACGTAGACATTTATTTGACACATTTCTAACACCTGTTGAAACAGTATATCTGGTTTAAATACTTAATCATGTTGTTGAACTGTGACTGATCATTTTGAAAGAAAAGCAGCAGCATTCTCATCTTCTCCCAAGATTATTGCTTCTTCTGCTTGACTCTATCTGAAAGTGATTCCTACCTAGGCCTACACGATTTGCCCATAATTGTAATCCAGTACCACGGTGGAAGGGTGGAGTCAAATACTTAATGTCAAGTTGCTCAAAGAATATTGACATTGCTGTATGAAAGTCACACTATGCAACATTCAAAGTAACCATCAGGAAGGGACAAAACATTATTACAAACTTCAACAGCACAGATGGCACTGATGAAAGGCTTGGTAGCATGCTAGCTGTCATGCTAGCTGTCATGCTAGCTGAAGTGTTTTGGTGAGAGTTGGTGATGACATTTGCAGGGTGGTCTGACCCAGACCACAGACCAGCAAGGTGCATAGCCTGGGTGGTTAGTTGGAACACAGGTGTGTTTCTATCTATCATAAGACCATATACCATCACAATTAATTTTAGAATGATAGTAATACTACTTGACTATAACAAAAATGCTTCTATCAGTGGTAAATTATTGTATGCCGTCACTTTAATGGATACAGGTGTAGAAATGCATTCATTACTTACACTATGCAACACTGCTTCTCCAGAGCCCTGTTGGCCAGACTGTCTGTTTCTACCTCCCATGACAGGGACGAGGGGTTGGACTTTGGGAGGCATGTAGGCCTGATATCCAGGTCTGTTGACCACAATAAAAAAGAAAAAAAAAAGTGGTGGGGTCATGGTAGGAATGATCACTCGGGGTCTGTTAAAGGAAAATAGAAGTACGCTTTAGGTAATCAGCACACTGTGTAATGCTAATAAATAGTAATATGACCTTACTATCAGAGGTTCATGGCGTCTATCTTTCTGTTCCCTCTGGGCTGCCAGTTTCTCCCTGATGCCCCTCAAAATAGATAATTTCTCCCCCTCAGACCCGAGGAGGTCTTTACTGCACTGGCAGTGAATGTTTCTGCGCCGGAGGGTGTGCGGCGGCCGCCGTGCCGAGGCAGTGGGGTGGATGGGGCTAGGTGGGCTCCCAGACTGGGAGGATTCGGGGGACTCAGGGGAAACTGCAGCCCTAATGGAAGGATGGCCATGCACAAGGGGACCTGATGTGGAGCGGCCCCCCGGCGGAGGCATGGCCGGCCCCCCGGAGGAGGCATGGCTGGTGTGGAGCGGCCCCCCGGAGGAGGCATGGCCAGCGTGGAGCGGCCCCCCGGAGGAGGCATGGCTGGCGTGGAGCGGCCCCCCAGAGGAGGCATGACCGGCGTGGAGCGGGCCCCCGGCGGAGTAGGCCTGAGGGGTGAGATGTTGCTGGGCCCAGATGTGGTGACCGAGGGGTGAAAAACACAGACCTTTGGGAAGTGTGTAGACCAAAGTCATCTGTGTCCCCCAGGGCTCTGTCAAGTGCCTCTGGTCCTGGGATGGTCAACCATCGCTCCTCCCCAGGAGTGAGAGGAGGCAGACTGGTGATCCCACCACCAATCCTCTCCTGTTCCCTCCTGAGTGCTGCAGCCTTCCTTTCGGTGACACTGGCATAGTCCCTTCACTTCCCCCTCACACCCATGGCCCACATAATTTTTTCCATGATCTCCTCCCAAGCTTTTTCCTTGTCAGCATTTTTCAGCCTTGAGAAATAGCTGTCCTGTTCCTTTTCACTTCATCCACCAACACAGCAAGCTCTATGGCTGTAAATCGAGGCTTATGTTCCTGTGCCATTTTTACTTTGGCGTATAGGACCTCTTCGCTCTTAACACAAGGCTTTAGTGTAGAGCATGTATGAGAAACACATGATTTCCCACCCGTGCCAGATTTCCTAATTTACTTAAGTATTCATCTGGAGGTAAAGGAAAGAAAAACAGAGCATGATGAGGGACAGCTTTTACTATCCCCTCAATATGTACATTTGTGTATTTCTAGCTTTTGGTGCTGTGCCATATGTCTTCATTACACCCATACCTTCATAGAGACAACGGATGCCTTAAGCAAACATTACAGAACTTTAACTAATCAATCCTTAATCACTGACAGGCGTCGTTGCCATAAGGAAAGAGAAGAAAGAAACGTATCAGCGGTCGGATACAAACCCATTGCTGTGTACTCGAGAAATTACGTCTGTCGTGGTTGGGTGTTACGCTCACGCGTCTATTCCACTGAGCCACTAACATACCGTAAGCTGTAATAACTGGAGGTAAGGGACCCAAAATGCGCTCCTGAACAGCCCTTTTATTGATTCACCATTACCCAGGACAGACAACCGGGCAAAGAATTCCCAGCAACAACGATAGCGCAGGAAAAAGCAGCAGCTTACAACACTTAATATATACATTAGCGCCCCCTGCTGATGTGGTGCTCTGCCACTTAACTAAAATAAAACAGATTCCAATTATTACACAGGCAACATCGGACCTAGAATTTGCAAGTGTTTGTAATGTGACTGAAACACAAAGAAATAATAATTATCAGCGTAATTACAGATAGAGCGTATTTCACAAAATGTACGGTCATAGCTAAAAGTTCTATTTTTTCCACTGCAAATAGCGTATCATATTTTGACGCCATTGCTATTTTTGAGTTTAATATTATTATTACTGACACAATAAATAATGTAGTTTCGGCACAACCATCGTATTTATAAATAATACTACGAAGCTCGTGAGTTTTTGCGCGCGACCCGCAGTGAAAGACCAAATACACCTGGAACCATTGTAGTTTGAACTGGCGTGGTTCAAACCACGGTGGTATTAATTAACAGCTAGGTATGGTGGTTTGAGGAAATGGATAATTTTAACTAACATAATAGGATGCATTATTAATGCTAACCTCCGTCGTTGTACGGGAAACGCACCCCCAGGCGGGATGGCACGAGATTTCATCATGGTACTCAGAATGGCGTGCAATTTAAAACTTAGGAATTATTTTTGGAATTATCCATTTAATATCTTTGGACCATGGGCGACTGAAAAGACTTTTCTAATGCTCTGTGGACACCCTGCAAACTGGTGAATGTAATGGTAGCCTAGCTAATGCTGTACTTAATCGTTAAGTGCTAGTCCCCCCTCCCCTGGTCCCAGCGCGTTGTTTTTAACTTACCCAATGCTGTCAGTGCAGGCATAATTTCCATTCAATAAGAATAGATTATGGTGAACGAAACGCGCCTCACACTATGGTTCGCTGGTTAACGTCATTCCGTAATCAATCCCTTGTGGTTGACATTGGAATTAGCGTTCATTACCATCTTACGCAATTTTACCACTTTCAACCTGCCGTCCATGACCACATATCCAAGCAGTATTGGTTAATGAAAGAAGTTTAGAAATTCCAGTTCACATAACCCCACCTTTTTGGCTTGGGGGAGGAAATCCTCTCAAATACTGCATGGGAGAGCCTAGGGTGGGAATTCATGTGTGGGGCCAAAGTACAACAACTGGTGTTGTTTTATGAAAGGTATTGTCATGCCCTGCTCGTCCTACCCTCTCGTGTGCCACGCCCCCTCATCTACCCCGTGTGGATTCCCCGTGTTCACCAGCTGTTTCTCGTTATTGTGATTAATCCTGTGTATTTCAGTCCGCGTTCGAGTACGTTTCCCCAGTCCAGTCATTAACGTTGTGTGTGTTCTGGCGTGTGTTGCCCCGCAAATATATCCCTTTTTTGTATCCACGGTTTCCTTCGCCTGTTCCCTGTGCCGATCGTGACAGATATACACGTCAGTGTCTGGTGATTTTAATTTAATTGAGAGGGAAATATAAACATAAATGAACAATATCTGTAGCAATGACCTCCGGTCCACAGAAATACTGACTCAGGAGAGTCCAGAGTTCATGACGTCCAGGGACTGACATGAAGATGAATCTCTAACAGACAGCTGCACATACTAACTCCTGCTGGGGTTGGCTCTGTATGATGTTTTTTAATCATTCTGTGGCACTATTTATTGCCGCTGTGTGAGTGTGTAGGTGCCCTGGTGTTTGTGTGTGTGTGTGTGTGTGTGTGTGAGAGAGAGAGAGAAAGAGAAAATCCATGGTTAATTGATACTTTTAAAATGCCAATAACATGTAGTTGCTAAGTTTCATTTCTTCCTGTGACTTCCTGCTCGGTTACTGAGGACAAACGAGCAACTCCAGCAATCATAACTTGTCACTCCTTATTGGGCCTGTGTCTGCAGCGCCCCCCTCTGATCGGCTAAGCAAGGAAGTCCTGTAATTTTCTTACTTGTGATTTGCAATCAGTTGTTTATGGCCCTCCACCTTCCTGTTTTCCTTCTTCCATCTGCCCAGGCTCTATCCCTCTCCTATTCCCCAGCCAATCCCATTCTCCTACACCTAATTTCTCTCTCCACCGCACTAAAGATTCTCTGTCAAGTTTCCCTGAGAAAATCGAAGACTAATTAAGATTGTTAATGAAGATTTAATTCCTCACTTCAAACACAGCAGTGATCATGGGGCCCGCTGTGGTGTGGGTGAAGGAACACCATCTATACATTCTCCACTGTGAATTTGGGAAAGAGGTCCATTCCAGGTCTTTGTCCCTCACATTGGCACTGTATTACAGATCCACGCTCGTGGGAAGGATCTGTTTCTATTTGTCGACCTGGGTGAGCCTAACAAACCCCTCGATTCTCCAAAGGGGAACATCACCTCACCTGATTCAGTGGCGCACTGGTCAGGGAGATGGGTCATGAAGTCAGAAGTCATGGTTTGGTTCTACTCTGAGATATGGAGTCTCACAGACTCAGCAATAAAGGGATGAGTTCTCTGCATCTCTGGCATGGTTTCAGATGTGTTGTAAAGTCGTCTGGTGGGTGTCACTCCCTGTGTCCACAGACCCGTGAATAAGGAAGTGAGTTCTCCCACCCCAGGAAGCAGTCCCCACCAGACCATAAAATCCCTCAGAGAACCTGATGTAATGCCTGAAATGTTTCTGCTAGAAACCAAGCTGAAGAAGAGGACTTAGCCTTCAGTGTGGGCATGAAAATTTTCCCCAGCCTAGGAGAGACCTCATTCAAGCCCCAAGATCCAGGCCTTTGATTCCAAATCCAAGCCTTGTTTTCAGTTTTCCCAGGTAGTTAGTTTAATAATCACTGATTCTGATTGGTCAGAGGCTTCACACCTGACTGACAGGTGAAGGAAGGCTGGAAAATCAGCAGGGCTTGGCCCTTGAGGACCGTGAGTTGAATAGCCCTGCCTTAAAGGGAGCGTGCATCCAGTACCAGGTCCAGAAAGACCTCCACTGAGTCCCAAGTGCCTGGCCCAGGGAACGCCACCTCGCCAGGGTCTCCTGTTCATAGCCCAGATGAGGCCACCTCTTGCTGTAATAGAATAGGCCGCACACCCATAACCAGGCACAATCCACAAACCTTGTGAACTTTGTATTATGGCTAACGTGGAATGATAGGTGTTTTGTTGAAATGCATGTTACTGTCCCTCATAATAATAATACCCTAAACCTGTAGACTCCACATTGAGTGAGATCCATCTTCCACAACTATGGTGACCAGATTTTTAAAGTCCCAACTTGAGACACTGTGTAGCATGGGTGTATGTGTCAGACCCATAGCCATAAATAAATTTCAGAGGGTGTTTGGCATAGGTCCACCTTGGTATATTTTGCCACCCAACAGTGGGAAAAGAAGTTGGGGTTCAAACTCAAAATTTTTGTTTAATGACTGAATTTTCTCGTGATCATCATTGAGAGATCAGCAGGGAACAAACACACGAATAGTCATATGATTCTGCATCACATTTTTTTTAAATCAAATTTTATGCTTCATGAACATCTGCGATGGACCCTTCAAACTCCTGTTGCCCTCAGACCAGCCTGGTGTCATCATCCCCTGTCTCTCGTGCCTTTGTAGGTTTGCCTTCCCCGGCTTTGAACCTCTGGACTTGTGACCACCTGTCCACTTGCCTACTGATTTCAGTTCTGTTTGCCCAATACATTGAATAAACTCAACTTCTCTGCATTTTGGGTCTTTGAGTGTTTGCCCCAGATCTGACAAAATGTAATTTAAAGACATAACTAATGATGTCAATGGCTTTGCTTTGTTATTAAGAGGAGATCATTTACATTGAATGGAGGTGCTGGATTATACATCACATTTTAAGAATTGTCACTGATCATCAGCTAAATAACGCTGGATATTATTAAACTGTACGTGTATAATAGTTTTGAGCACCTGAAGTTCATCTCCCCAGTATTTATAAAACCTTGTCAGGTTTCCCTGGTGTGAGGTAGTGTGAGTCACTCTGTACCTGATTTAATCTGTGTTCTGAACTCCCATGAATCCTGACCTTTTGCCTCTTATTACTGACTTTGCTTAAAGGGTTCAGATTATGTCTCTGCCTTTGTCCTGATCCGGTTTTTGACTTCATGACACTGGATTGTCTTCTGGTTCTCTGTTTTGAATAAACATGGATCCCTCTGCATAAGGAACCTTGCAAACTTCTTTACATCATTCAGATAATTGACACATGAGATTTATCTGGGTTATCTGTCAACCACACAAAAAGTGAGATTGAAGATGGAAACAGAGATATTTATTCTCTGTATACAAGCTTTCTTCTACCAAGTATAATTCAGTGTAACACAACATCTGAAAGCAGGACTTAAGTGTTTTTTTTTCTTAAAAACAAAATTTTACATATAAACACTACATAAATATTGAGTTTATTTGTTATTTGTTATATTTTGTATAATGTACTATTTCATTCATATATTCCAAATCCATTTCTTGCCCTGTCTGATCTTAGTCTGGCCTCAGTCCAAAACCACACCTACTGCAGTTCCTCCCAAGTTCCTCCCACTCTCACACACAGACAACTGTGAGAGAAAACTAAACTGAATCCCATTAGTGTTTATGGTAAAATGGCAGAAGCCAGTTCAGCACTGAGTCAGAATGAGTTCAGCTGTTCTATCTGTCTGGATCTACTGAAGGATCCAGTGACTATTAACTGTGGGCACAGTTACTGTATGAGCTGCATTAAGACCTGCTGGGATCAGGAGGATCATCGTGGAGTTTACAGCTGCCCCCAGTGCAGACAGACCTTCACACCCAGACCTGTTCTGGGCAGAAACACCATACTGGCTGAAGTGGTGGAGAAACTGAAGAAGACTGGACTACAAGTAGCTACTCCTGCTGACCATTATGTTGGACCTGGAGATGTGGAGTGTGATGTCTGTACTGGGAGAAAACAGAAAGCTGTCAAGTCCTGCCTGGTGTGTCTGGCCTCTTACTGTGAAACTCACCTCCAGCCTCACTATGAGTCTCCAGCTTTTAAGAAGCACAAGCTGACTGATGCCACTGGACATCTGCAGGACAAGGTCTGTTCCCACCATGACAAACCCCTGGAAATCTACTGCCGTACCGACCAGCAGTGTATCTGTTATCTCTGTACCATGGACAAACACAGAGACCATGATACAGTCTCAGCTGCTGCACAAAGGGAGGAAATACAGGTAAGACGAGAAATTCTTATGTAAACTAAATATCATTTTTTAAATGAAGTATACATGAAAGTTATCTGCTTTTGAACGCGAGTATATTTACTTTGAAGACACATGGATCAAGTCTAGTTACGTAAAGCGAATGTAAAAGAGTTCCTGAAAAATTTCTATAAGTGATTAAGGAGAAATTTAACCACTTATCTGGGTGAGGCAAACATGTGGAGCTTATCTGAGTCAGCATAGCACACCCTGAACAGGATGATTAAAGAATATGACCTCAGGTACTGAAACAGACTCAGTTTCTCATCATCTTTTCCCACATATGTAGAATAAAATGGATGAAACACAGAAAAAAAATCAGCAAACAATTCAGATGAGACAGAAGGAGCTACAGGAGCTGAGAGAGGCTGTGGGATCCATCACAGTGAGTATGAACCTGAAGAGAGGGTAACAGCTGCCTGGTAAATGTGTTGAATCGAGACCCTTCCATAGCTGTGTGACTTGAGTACGTATGATTATGCTAATGTCACTGTTATGGTGCAGCACAGCACAGGCTGGAAAAAGGTGACGATCCGCTGGTGGCTCCAAGACACAAAGGGGTTTATTAGAGAAACTGAACGCACTGGGTAAAACTACAAAACAAAAAGACCACAAGCGGCCAAAAAACAGGGAAAGATAAAGAATTAACAAAAACCACAAAACGAACCAAAACTAAGGAACTAAGCAAAATACAGAGAATAGAATTGGGGTGAGTTTCCCAAAGTCGTCTTAACGCCACATCGTTCATAAGTTCTATGTTAATAAATAGATCTTA